AAAAAATTAAGAGGTAAATCCGAGAACCAACGAATCAAATTGGTGTGGCCTTATATCCACTCCGGAATACTAGCCTCTGTGGCAGGCCCAAAACTTGGGTTTTGGTGTGTTTCAGGGGCTTAAAGTTTTAACCCCGGACGTCAAGTTTAACTTAGTGGATGTCGAAAAGGCTGACAATCACAAAACAACACAGAACCCCCCCTAGGGGATAAATATTCAGCATGGACAGAATTCAAGGCAGGTATACATAATAGAAAAATACCCACGTCGAGCTCAGTAGGGTGTAAGTAAAACGGTTGAAAGAAAATGAAAACCGTAAGTTGCCGGAAAACATTGAAAAGTTCCCATGTCTACAGAGCGGCAAAGTTTGGCTGACCATCCAAACTGTCACATATATGCCTCAGAACAGTTCTGGGATCAAAACCCCAACATCCACAGAACTTGATCCCTATTGCAAAACAGTTGGATTGTGCCATTCCTAGTGAAATACATGACGGTGTATTGATTCCTTGATTGTTAAGTTGGCTAAACTAGGGGTAAATTCTGCTATTGCTATACTACACAAATTTAGACTCTCAATTTCTATAAAAGAATAACTAAAAGGGGGCCCGCAAGCCCTTTTCCGTAGAGCGTAATCAGCCGTTTTAATTCTACGTAGAGCGTAGACGGACCCCTCTAATTCAACGTAGAGCGTAATTGGCGCATTTAGCGTAGAGCGTAATCCGCCGTTTTAATTCTGCGTAATGCGTTGTAGCTATCGGGAATTCACCGTAAAGCGTAATTGACTAATTGTGCGTAGAGCGTAATCCAAGCCTCAAACGGAAGCTCGAGGCCTCGCAAGTGCTCTGATTTTTTCTCTGAAATCCTCTCAAAAACGCAGGAAATGCCATTTTAGAAGGTTCATTTTTCAAAATTTTCCGGGGGAGCATACCCCCAGACCCCCCTAGGAACCTTGCGCCTTCGGCGCTCGCCTCGCGCCTTCCGGGCTCGCTGGTCCCTCAAGCAGTGGGAAGAAACCCCCCCTACAAAATCCTGGCTACGCGCATGCTCAGGCGCAGCTTGATTAAGAGTTGGATCTTCTGAAGAGCGCTAAAAGTGAACTTCTGTGTTCGGAATCTTTCAAATTTAGCGTAGAGCGTAGAGACTAAGAGAGGCTTCTTGAATTCAGCGTAATACGTAGCCGGCTCTCAGAATTTAGCGTAGAGCGTTGTCGGGACCCCCCCTTGCAGGCCCCCCTAAAATTGTGACATAGATAATCATATAAACAAAACAAAATCATAAATTATATTATATTGTTAATGATACTATATATATATATATA